TCATGTTCACTGTGTCTGGCATCAAGGGAGAGACCCTGGGGGACATCCCACTGCTGGCCATTGGGCCGGCCATCTGCCTGCCAGGCATCGCCGCCATCGCCCTCACTAGGAAGACCGACGGCTGCACTAAATGGCCCAAGAACAAGTGTCCGTGCTGCAAGCAAGTCAAGGACCGGGATGTCATGGAGCTGCTGAGGACCCCTTCAGACCTGGAGTCAGGCAAGGGGAGCTGCGATGAGCTGGCCAAGAAAGCATACCAGAAGGACAGGAGAGTGCTGCGGGGTGAGGACTCTGTGTCCATCTGCACCACCACCACCACCACCACTATGGGAGAGTGCAAGAGCCTCATCAGAAAGGTGGAGCAGGAGGAGATGCTGAGATACCTGGAGACCTGCTACCCAGAGATGCCGGGGAATGTATTCGTGGGAGATAGCTCCATGTATAGTGCCTTGGAGAAGAAGAGCTCTTCTCCCACCAGGGACAGCACTGCTTGCCCTGATATTGAAGACAACATTTTTGTTGCTCCTAAAGACAGTATCATTGTCTGCTCTTACAAGGAGAACAGCCCTTATGACAGATACTGTTGTTACATAAACCCTACAGGAGTCAACTCAGACCAGGAGACCATAGTGTGAAAGAGGCATACTTTGTATATATGTATGTATACAAAAACTACAACTTCAACTTGATAGGGGATAATATAGCTGACTGCACTGCATGGGACAATCCTGATACTATTACAATTTAACCTGGTATGTGACTGATACTCAAACCTTTTGTGCCTGAAATACTCTTTCTGTAAGTAAACAAACATGTTTAAAGGTTAAAGAATTCAATTATTCATTTTGGAAAAAAGAAATTACATCTTACTTTTATTTTACCCCTTTCTCTCCCTTTTGTTTTCCTGCTGCCTATTGTATCCAAGCCCGTAGACACACTAGCAGGAGGGTGTTATCTGTGGCTGTCATCTGAGATCAAGGGCTGAATCAAAACTCTGGAGCTGTCTGTAGGAAAGAATGTGGTGCACTGTGGCTGAATGGGTCTTAGCAATAGTGTCACTTCATTTTGGGAGGGATTGAGGATGTCAGCATGCACTCCAATAGCTGGTTGATGTTAGGGAGTGCAGAAGTGATTTCTCTCTCCTCCTTCTTCCTGGCAGGATTTTATTTTCCTCCGCTTCAAGGAATCAATGTGCTAACCTTGTGGCCTCTTCTGAAAGTGTCCTAGGAACCAGATAGGCTCAGGGGAGTTTTCAAAGGCTAATCCATCATCAGTAGCATGCAAGGTACAGGTTTTAGCTTCATTCCACACTGGCATTGAGTTCACCGGAATGTTTCTAACAATTCTGGATTTTACTGGCATACTTGACAAGGAGGTTACAACATGATTATGACACAGTTCTTGCAGGGACTAGGAGCAGATGTCAGTGGACTCACGGTTTTAAAAAGATATTCAAGTACCTCTAAAGTTGTTTAGGGAATAGACTTCCATGGGTTGTGTTCAGAGCTGCATCTGACTCTTCCAAAAATGTCATTTTCATATGCCTTTTCTAAAATACCAGATGTTTCTCTATGGGTGATGAATGGTTACATTCCACTCAGGGGTCTCAAAGCCATGCTTTGCTCAGGGGAGGGAACCGAGGACTTGGCTGACAGATGCTTCTGTTCACAGCTTATGGATACATAGCAAGAGAAATATGAAGTGAGTAATGAGGATTAACCATTCAAAACCTGAGCCTGCAGCTTACAGACAGGAACACAACTCCTGGCTGTTCTGTCCAACAGTAAATTGCATGTTCTATGCTGTGTATAAAATCTTATCTGGCCTCTACTATGTAGGTAATGCAGATGTGGTATAATACGATGTGTAAGCTAAGCAGCTACTCTAAGGGTTAAGCTCTTAGGGTAATGGTTACTGAAGCATAGAATAATTTGCTAGCAACTCACCAAGTCCCATATACTAAACTCTCACAACTCCAAAAAGTTCCTCTGTGATGGAAGTCTTAATAACTGTTCTTACTTAGCTGGTTTTTGTCAACCATAAGTTGTACCAGACAAATGTATTGAATTATCAGGGTAGGAAAGAAGAAAAATAGCCTTTCTTTTGTAGCAACCTGAGATGTTGTGTAGAAAGTGGCAAGGAATTTTCCACTGAAATGAGCCATTCTTCACTGCCTGTGGGGTTGTTTGGAAAGTGAATGGAAACTTTATGCTTCCACTAGTTTGTTTTTTTGGGAACTTATGTCAAATCATTACAGATAACCAATCTTTGAAGAGGTTTCTAGAAGGAGGAAATACAATTTTTTGCATAAGATTGTTCCGTTTCTTTCAGACCAAACAAGATGTTATGTTACCACTGTGGCCAGGCTTTGGTGGGGCATTAGGATGCTATCAGGATAAATTTTTAAAAAGTACTAGCTAAGAGTCAGTTAAAGACTCTCAGTAGGTGGTTACAGGCAGCTTTGGGACTCTGGCATGCAGCAACAGTACTGTGGGAATAAATAAACGAACGCTTATACTCTGTACAGTCCAAGTTTTGTCCACTGAGCAAAGGGCTTCCACAAAAACAGACCCTCTCTCTGACGTGTTCAACACCCACTTCCACACGAAAGCACTCTGCTCTTGTCAGGCAGATTGTCTCCTGCAGTCTTAGTCACTGCAGGACTTATGCTGCAGTGTACAGAGCAGCTTTTTGATGGCACTGGGAAGTCTTATTTCATGACCTCTGAAGCCAACAGCTAAAATACTGCTGATGTATGTGAAGAGGAATAGGGCCTTTCATCGCTTTCTGTTCCCAAGGGAAGCAGGTGAGGGTCTCAGCGTGTGCCCATGAACGCTCAGAATCCCTGAAGATCAGGACCACCCTGAGAAAACAGGCTACCAGGTAGCTGCATACTGCCTTTGCCGGGGTTGTGAGCAATTGCTTGCCTTGCATAAGAGAGCAAAGCGTCAGCCCGCTGGGAACCTAGATTTGTACAGTTCTGCAAATATATATAGGAGGAGGTCAAGTTCTTCCATTTTGTCTAGGATTAGATGTTCTCTGTCAAAAGTTGTATGTCGTTTTACAAAGCAAGACAGCAAACTCTAGTGACAAATGGAATGGTAAATATATAACTTGAGATACAGCCACACAGATCTGAGTCATGTACTTTATTCCATTCTTAGTGTAGGAACAGAGAATGTTTAATTAAAGTGAAGTTTAATTGCAGTGAAAATTTCCAACATATAGAAAAAGATATAAAAAATATGTTTAAAACGTGGAATTTATAGGCAATGTCCTTCCTCTGTTCATTTAGCTGAGGTAAGGTTTCATAACAAAATAGAAGTTTAAGAAATATTTCTAGGCTAATCCACCGTAATCCACAGAAGTTTTTTATTGAACTTGTGGGAATTTAAAGAAATATATTAGTACTGCTTCTGAAATCTCTTTATAATTTTTTGTTTCTTTTCCGTTAGTTAGGCAAAGAATGAAACAGGTATTGATCAATTTGGCCATTTTAAAAATAAGAATTTGTCCATTTAGAAATTAAAGTTGTGGTTTGGGTTTTTTTTTTTTTTAAATGAGTGCCCTTTTTTCATACACTATAGTTTTGCCAGAAGTCTACTGCTTATTTGATCAAAAGACAGCATAACAGCAGCTTCAAGCTTTTTATGCAGATACCATGCCCAGGGCAGAGAATTACTGGGGCTTTATTTTCATTCAGCTCATGTGGTCTTTTCTGATGGTCACTAGAATTTGTAGGACCAGTGCTGATCTGGAAGAAGTAGGAATAATCACGTTGCTTTTCAGAGGCAGCATCTAGTCCTGGGTCTGAATTTGGCTTCAGTATACCACAGCTCAGGGTGTGATTCTGAGCTATGACCCAGAGGTGAGAGCTCCTTTCTGCCCTTGCTACCTTTAAACCACCTCTAGGTCAAAATCCTACTTCTCTCCTCAATGCTATTCTCCAAACAATGCATAGAATTGTAGTGGAGCTCTGTTTGTGGGGTTAATGCCCAGGCTCATTGAAATCAATTGCCACATATTGCTTGGTCCTACAGTATGGGTGGCAGGGCATATATTAGTGTTGGAAGAAAACCAGTGATTTGGATGTTCAGAGAAGGTTCCTGAGATACAGAATTTTTTTTTTTTTAATAACATTTGTCATAGTGCTACAGTTGAGTTTACCTTTTAAGAAACAATGTGAGACACAGCTCAACTGCACATAGGGCAATTCTGTGTTTCTTTGTTCAAATTTCTGTTGTCATAAGTAGCATTTTTACAGGCATACAAGCTGATCATTGCGAGGTCTTTAACAGAAAATTGGGAGTTTTAACCAGTGTGCAGTCCGTCCCCCTGGAGCACTAACACAATAGCTGGTCCTTTCTGCCTGGAATCGATTGAGTAGGAGGCGAGTGTGCTCAGGCTGTGTGTCCCTTGGGAACAGCACTGTATTCTTGATCTACATTCCGCTGAAATGCGGTGATCTTCCACAAGCAGTTCCTCCCCATCTGATCCAACCTCTCCGCACTCGAGTCTGGCTCCAGTAACTATTTATTATCGTTATATTTATTACTATCTCTCCATCATTTATCAGCAGTCCTGGTT